TTGAGAGACTCATTTCTACCTGTTGTAGCTGTTTGCTGCCACAAAACATATGGAATAATCACAAATGTAAGATAGTCCTGTTTGTGTTTTTGGTCCTTTGGCTTCTTCCCCTGCTTCAGAAAACACAGGTGACAAAACACATGTCATAGTGCAGTGGAGTCGAACAGATTACTGTTGCATGGAGTCACAAGCTGTGCTTTCGAGGGTAGATCAAAAAGTTCTGAGTCTGTTCATCATTTGCATGCAGTGAGTGCATCATGGCTACGTGCATGCGCCATATGCAAGCACTAACAGTCACGAGTCAGGATGTTGCATGTCAGCGCACTGTAACCATCTAGATCTGTTTTACGCATTTATGTGAGAACTGGTAGATGCGCATTTGCAATATCTCCATGGACTGCAAAGTGGAACAGACAAGAAAACATCACATTCTGTGTCAGTCAGTAGCCCTGGACATCCAGACACTTTATGTCAAGGAACATCGCTGGTGACTAGATTTGCGTCTGCAGCTATCAACAAGAGAAGAAACAGCAGTTCTCATAGTGAAAAAACTCAGGTCAAGAGTGAAATGGGACAATGCTTCTTTTCTTTCACATTCACAGTTTTGCACCAGGGACTAGTCCCCCAGGGTCAGACTGATGAGACAGAACTCTGGGATGTGTGACAGAAAACCTTTGGCGGAAATGACCTGAACTGTGGCACAATGGCATTTGGGTGCTACAATGTGCTGAACCTGCTCACAGCTCAGGTTTTTCAGGCCACAACAACAGAATCATCACTGCCCACCCTGCCCTACTTGCCAGATTTGAGTGCCTGTCATGGCTTCTTATTTTTCCACAAAGTGAAATTCAAGTTGAAGGATCACTGTTTTGACATAGCTTAAGAGATTCAGCAGTCATTATAGATGGTGCTTGACATGTTTACATAAATGGCCTTGCAGTCTTGGAACTTTTCGATCACTCTTCTTATAAAAGCTTGCATGGTACATTGTATCATACATCATACCAAAAGGACCCTTGACCCTTTTGATTTCACCTAACCTTTCAAACAATTACCTTTGGTCTCGTGTAACAGTATGTATGTGTGTAATTCCACTTGCTATGATTGGTTGTCGGCTCAGTGGCGCCTTCTTGGGAGCTGTGGTGTGCCACTGGTACCGGTGTTGCGCCGTCAGTTCCCGAGAGGCGTGCATGAGGTAGGTTGCGGAGCACAGCACGAGCTCATGAATGGTTGTGTTATGAGTTTCATTTGTTTATTTTTGGAAATGTGAGTGTATAATCAGTTACATTAATGTTCGTGGAAGTGTGTGGATATGTGTGTCGTTTGTCTGTGTGCGTTGGTTGGGGAGATTGAGAATGTTCACTAGCTAGCTAGCTAGTAGCGAACATGAGCTGGTAGAACTGTGATGCTCCTTTCGCAGAGCGCTGTGCACGAAACGCCTGAGCCCGCTGACCAGAGCTATCTTGTGTTGCCAGGTACATATTTAGTTTTGTGACTGTGTTTTCATATGTTTTTGTAATAAAATTGTCGTGCTGTCAGTTCCCAAGAGGCATGCATGAGAGCGCTGTGCACGAGACGCCTGAGCCCGCTGACCAGAGTTATCTTGTGTTGCCAGATGGACCAATAAATGGAAAAATACAGTTCTGCATTCCGACTCATTATTAATAAAAAAAAACAAACACAACGCAGAGTCGAAGGGGTTACATTCGCCTAGGCTCAACATGCTGTCTGTTGTTGGAGGACTGCACGGTAGTGTGTCTCCAGATCATCTGTGTTGGTTGAATTCCTATAAGCCTTTACTTTGCATACAAAGATAGCTACACGAACGGACACTAGCGTGGATGTTTCTTTGGGTGTTGCAGGAAATCATTCAGGTACTGAGCCTTATAACGGTAGTGCAAACCCTGATAGCATGTTGTGGTTGTTGTTTTAGCAGCACTCATCCAGGGGTTGGACTGTTTCAGGAAAAAAGATGCCATATTTGTTTTTTTTGTTTTTTTAACTCTTCAAAACTATTTACTTTTTTTTTTTTTAAATAATGAAACAGTTAAATGAAGAGATTAATCATATTGTCACACAAATTGAATGAAATATGTTAATTAGAGAGCTTTAGTTTTTAGGCTAGGGCATTAAGCTTCTCATTTAAAAACACAACACCAAGCAGGAGACAACAAAGAAAACGTACTTAAAACTAACTACTACATATGACAGTGTTGCACTTGGATGTAAATGTATAAAGTTACGAAAACGTATAAAAAATACTGTTCAAAAAAAAAGAGCACCAGAGAGAGAAGTTTAAAATCTTGCTTCACTTCACTTTATGTGAAGTAAAACCTGTCAATATGTCTGCTGGACAGTACAATTACACTGTGCGTTTGAACATATTCGACGAGCTGACACCGTGACATCAAGCTGCACAGACGCAAAAGCTGTTTTGCACAAACAATGGTGCCTGAGTGTTCTGAAGTGGCACCCTTATGTTTTCTCCAGAGCGGTTTCACTGAAATAAAGGAGGCCTGGGGCAGTGCTTTGTGATGCAGTGCTGGTGACAGCACAGCTTCACACACAGTGATACCAACACGAACACACTGACTTGACACTGATCATTCATCAAATCATACCCACTGAAGTGATCAGCGTGCTTTCATTAAGAATTCACAGGGCTGAAACAGTAAATACTGAAGTGTATATAGATGTGTGATTGCAGAGCAGCGGTGTGTGTGTTTGTGCGTTGTGGTGTATACAGTCACCCTGCAAGCCATCTGCTTAATGTCTCATATGAGTGAGGTAAAACCAACCCTGGACAGGCATGAGATCTCATTTGGAGACACATCAACACCACTTTCTTGATTTATCTCACTTGCTAGTGTGTATAGATGTATGATTGCAGAGGTGTGTGTGTGCGTGTGTGTGTGTCCTCTCATCTGATTTCTTTCATTCCTTTTCGCAGTATATTTTTTCTGTTCTCTATGGACAACAAAATGCAGGTTAAGAGTATGAATGCACGTGTGTGTGTGTGTGTGTGTGTATTTTTATGTAGTATATATAGATCCATTTCCTTTGTATGTTTGTGTAATATGTCCATGTCTGCCTCTGTGTGTGTGTGCAGAGCATCTGAGAAGTGCAAAGGTCTCATCTTGAAGACACTGTGCAGGCCGACCCATCCAAATAGCAGGTTATCAGGTACACACACATTCAAAGCCAAAGGGTCAATCTGATCTCATGGCAGCCCACTGCTTTTAAAACACCAGGACTTCAATTTTCTCTTCCCCTGTTCATTTGGCTGCTTCACAGCAGGAGCCTGAATATTAGGCTTTGAACAGCCGAGAGGGAAAGAGAGATGGCTGTGTTAGCCGAGGCAGAGCGAAAGGTGGCAAAGAAGGAGAGAGGACATAAAGTGTCAGAGGAATAGTAAAATTGCAGAGAGACAAATTGGGGGGGGGAGTAATCCAAAGGTATAAACAAGTATCACCCTCTGAAATGTTTACAGATAAAGAGATATCCTTTATTACATCAGATTTGTTCATATTTTACATTAAAATGGGACTCCACTTCAGTTGTTAAGATAATTTAATGTCTACCACACTGGAAACAACTCCTTGTCTGCCCATAAAGATGCCGTCCAAACCATTGGGGACAAAATAAAATTCTGAGTTTATTCTTTGAGCTACTTCAGCAATTGGCATTTCTTTTTGGGAAGGACAAACAAAAATGGTACAGTCAGCAAGAGCAGCATCCTCACAGATGCCCTGCTGCTTGAGAAATCAAACTTTACGCCAAATAAAACGCTCTCTATCACTGGTGTCTTTTGAGGAATGTTTTAGCCCAGCGCTCAGATTGGCTCAGGCTCTGGATAATGTCTGTGCCAGACATCATTTCAGGTTTTAGGTTGGAGTAAAAAACAAATACTTCTTTCCAGGCTAAAAACCTGTTCCAATCAAGGGCTGGTTGATTTGTGACTAAATGAGACGTGTAAGGATCAATTGTTTACACACACAACCGAGCAGATCAAAGTGAACGTGGCACTGATTTGGATGAGGTACAAGCCTTGATTATTTTGTCAGCAATGGCTCTAATTAGCAAGTGAAAATAGGCCTGATATTCTCTAACAATTTCCTATGTCAAATTTCCACCCGATACTGAACTAATTTCCTCACTATTAAAAAACATTTTTTCAGTGTCAGAAAAACTTCAACACTCCATTCTGCACAAAGCCTTTAATTCATACCTGGGCAAACTAATCAGGAAATGATTTAATTACATTTCAACAAAGAACGAGATGGTGATGAAGTTAAAAGTTAGAAGAAAATCACCATGTTTTACTACTCAACCAAAAAAAAAAAGAATTCCACCTAAAAGAATGAAGCCTAGAAAACTGAGTTCCCTATTATTCTGTGTTATCTTCTTTACTAACAAAACAACCATCATGTTGATCAATAGAGCTCATTTTTTCAGACAGGAATGATGCTCCAAGACTGAGTGTACTAGTCACATAGGAAGAAAGGGGAAAAGTCACTGGGATAAAAATAGAAATAGCCGTGATTTGTGTTTTTCTTTTGGTAAATGGGCTGCATTTACAGTATGCATTGCTTTTACCCAAACCACTTTAAGACAAAGGCCTGGTGCCTGTTGAAGTTCTTGCAGTGAGACATTGCAAATAAATTCATTCTTGAGTTACACAGTGTGCAGGAGTCTTTTTGAACCCAAAACACTGCAAATTTCTGCTCCCGATTTTCTCATTCACACACACACAGACCGTCAAGAGCAATTTGAGGTTTTGCTCAAGGAGGATGTGGACAGACAAAGTAAAAAGTCAAACTGATGAGATGAGAAGACGTCCTGCTCTACCTGCCTTTCTCTACCTACTTTTATCATTTTCAATTTGAGATAAGACTGACATCAGTTAGACATCAGTGCTTCAGTTTTAAAGGAAAGCACTGGCTGATGTTGACGAATCACTGGGATCAAAGAGACAAACAGGTGGAAACAGGTAATCTTACCTGATGCAGAGCGGTCAGACCATCTTCATTGCAGAGGTCTGGACTCACATTGTTCTTCAGCAGGTAACGAACTGATGGAAAAAAAGACAAGAAACATAGTTTAAACAAGTGTGTTTCTTCTCACAAACTAAACCACTCTTACAGGTCTCACTTCACTGTATGCTTCACTTGCACTAATAAAAGTCGATTTTGTGGCTGAGAAGTGAAAGATTCTCAGTTTGCTCTCCTTACTTGCGATTCGAGAGGCACACGTGTTGAATAGTGATTCGGTTATTCAGTTGCATGATCAATATTTCAGGATGAATAAGATGCTCTGGCCACTGCAAACAAAACAATAGATGTGGGGGGATAGGGCAAAAAACATAAGATCCTACACAACTTAATTCCTCTAAATTGCTCACACAGCCTGCAGGTGCACATCCACTAAAGCATTCGTTGCCAGATGACATCACCAATCAATCTGCAATCCATTAATCACACTGCATCATTGTAATGCATCTCTGCAAGAACTTCAATCTCTCAAATTATCAACTCTGCCGGGATGTTACCCAACTGACCTTGGAAATATGGATGAATGGGTGATGGGGTGAAGGGGAGATAGGGAGGGTTGGTGATGGAGGATGATGTAATGATGCTTGGGATTACACAGTTTGTCTGCTTCTGAGTCCAAACAGATAAACCCTCTGCCCGGATCCCACTAAAAAAAAATACAAAATCCGTTCACATAGCCTGAACACTAGACATCTGCCTGACTGCTAAACCTGCCAGGCCTGAGCAGGAAGTGGTGGTGGCACGTAGGGCTCCTCTCCACGTCATTATCATCCCCTCTATTTGGCAGCGCTGCCGTCTGCCTTTATTTCAATAGAACAAAAAAAAAAAAAAAGAGAGAGAGTGGATAAACCAGGTTATGATGCTGACAGAGAGATGAGAGAGATTTGGGATGATAATGATCACATCTGTCTCTTGGACTGGCAGAAAAATGGCCCCATACACATTAACTAGACGCACCATGTGTATGCGCACAATATCAGACACAAACAAACATGTTTCCTTCTGTTCATATCCATCTATCAAATAATATACAATAAAACTGGTTATTGTGATTTCCATCACAATGGTTGTTTCACCAAAATAAAGTAAAATTATCCTACATAAATCATATTTAGGTTCTTTTAATAGTTACTTTTTCGATCCTTCTTGGGCCAATAGAGAAACTGCAGCAATGACAGTGCGTACAGTTACAGGGCAAATTGCATTTTATACATCCATCATCCATCCATTATCTATACACCGCTTAATCCTCACTGGGGTCACGAGGGTTGGAGTCTATCCCAGCCGACTCAGGCAGGGGCTGGAAAAATCGCCGGTCTATCACAGGGCTACACGTAGAGACAAACAAGCACACTCACATTCACACCTACAGACAATTTAGAATCGCCAATTAACCTCAACATGTTTTTGGACTGTGGGTGGAAGCTGGATAGCCCAGTGAGAATCCATGCTGCACAGAAAGATCCCAGGCGTCTTAACCGGGATGCAAACCGGAGATCTTCTAGCTGTGAGGTGATGGTGCTAACTCCACCGTGTAGCCCCAATTTAAACATATTTAAATAAAAAAAACAAATGTCTTTGCAAAACTTGAGCCATCTTTCCATATAATAGTCAAGCAACATGGAAACATGCTTTTGAAATGTTGCAAAAAAAATAAATAAATAAATAAAAGAAAGAAAGAAAGAAAATGTAAATTAGGCTTGTTTCCGATAACTGCTTTAAGGCAAATAAACCAGGCTGTGATTTCAGTTCAAATTAAACCCAACAGAGGTTGAGACTGGACTTTGGTTTTTAAATGCTGACCTGTACAGTCTAGTGCTCCATCAATAGGTAAGGACAGCATGTACGCTGCATGCAAGGAGAAACCCTGGGCAACAAAACCCTCAAAACACTCGCTGCTCATCTTAAAGTTTAACTGAATTATTCACATTGGAATTGCATTGTGGCACCTTATCTTCTCTGCTTTGTTTTTAATCAGAACACTTCAAAAAAAGATGTCTATACAGTATTATCCATCTATTTGGCTGTTGTTTTTTTTCAATATTTGCAGCTTTTGGTGACCTCCAAAGCACCTTTTGCATGAGAAAGTCAGCGGCAGGTGGAAAACAGGTACTTGGGGAGGAGCTGCACCTGGCATCTTTTGGCAGAAGTTTTCCCAAAGTTAAGAACAGCATTTTTTGTGACAGCGAATAAAAAGAAGGGGGGCAGGGTGTGCTACAGAGGGAGCTCATGATAACAAGATGAATATAAATGGGAGCCAAACACGAGAAAGTTTAGTATTTATGGAAAGTGGGTGTGTTGAAATTTTTTCCTTTAAGTGAGGATGAAATGGAAGTACTGTTTGACAATAATGGCTGGTCATTATGGCAGCACATTGTGAAAAATGCGGTTGAGTGAGTGCTTTTGCTACAATATGATGAAAGTGCAGCAATTATCACCCTCATGGCAACTTCCTGAATCCTATTAGACCTTGAAAAGGCTTTTGATACGCATCATTGTCAACACTGTCTATTTGTGATACTTCATTTACGGCACTATCGCAGTCATCTACACAAGAGCTCAGGTAGCAGTCAACTCCCCGACGTCAGCCATCTTTAAAATCCAAGGCCAACAAACCACGCAAAAACAATCCGCTGCAGCTGTCTGCAGTTTCGTGCACTCCTGTAAGATGTAAGCAAGGAAGAAAGTGGAATGTTACGGTGAGTGCTGAGAGAACTTGACCCAAGGTTACACAGTGCAAGCTCAGTCTGACTGCATCCAATAAATGTCACACAACATCTCTGCTTTCCTCTGTGTATTTGCAGTGCTGTGTTGTACAACCTGGATTGTAAACAACAAGCCTCAAAGGAACCTCAGTGCCAACATCACCTTTGCAGCTGACATCCCCTGCATCCTCTGTGATTTCTTTGTAATTAGATAAAGTTTTCTGGATTTCAAAATATGAAGAGGACTTTTTAAATGTCACGTTTAGGCTGGTTACTCTTAAGGAGTTCATAACTGAATTTAAATTGGCTTGCAAACTGCATTTAAATAAAAGTTTTCCTAGGAGGATGCATCTGCCACAATAAGTTGCAACAGTATAGAAATTATTTTCTTTATTGTAGCCTGAATCATCACACATCAGTCGCAGAAGAATGAGGTACTTCAGGATGTGTGTTCAGTTCTATTTAGAGTCACTGATTTAGGATTTATCCAGATTTATTATTATATAACAAATTTCTACAGACCAACAATGCAATGAAACAGCTACATCACAAAGCAAACATTCCTGCTAAGTAACAAATTAGGTGGATTAATGCAGATGTGTCCTTCGTCTTTTCTAAATATTGTAGCAGAAAAAAATAAATTGGATTTAAATTACCAAAGCCTTTCCTCTCCCAGTCACACTGCAGCTGTATTTAAGGCAGGCAAGTCTCAAACCTGTGTTTGTACAATTAGACTCGAAGAAAAAGCAAACTAGACAAGATATAATGGCATCATTCTTTCATTTGTTTATAGTTTAAAGGATAGAAAAAAGTACAGTATATAAATATGTATACAAATATATGTATTTAGACCATATAATTTCCCCATATACAGTCATAATCATTAGCAATGCAAATGTAATGAGCCGATAATTTATTCAATCCACTCTTGCAACTTCATCCAGCAAGTTCATTTACAAAAACTATCTCTGTTTTGACTCATTTTCATAAATGTTTTTTTTTTTAATCTATATATATTACACACTTCAGCGAACTTTTCAAACCTAAAGTGTCCAATTTCCAAGTTGAAGTCTGTAGTTAAAGGGGAACATAAGTTAAAATGCAACAAAGGCAATTTATTTGCAGAAAATGTAAAATATTTATAAGATCAAATCAAATATATTTATATTGCACGTTTAAAACAACCTGAGTTGACAAAGTGCTATGTGCAAAACATCAGGACAGGATAATACTTCCATTATCTATACACCGCTTAATCCTCATTGGGGTCGCGGGGGGGCTGGAGTCTATCCCAGCTGACTTAGGGCGAAGGCAGGGGACACCCTGGACAGGTAACCAGTCTATCACAGGGCTACACTTAGAGACAAACAACCAAGCACACTCACATTCACACCTACGGACAATTTAGAATCATGGAACAGTTAAATACTTAAATAGTTTGGAAAATCCAGGCCAGACTACAAAAGTATTCTACAGTGTCCAGTAGTATAATTCCATATTGTGTTATTATTGTAACTCAGTGTTTCACAGTGTCCAGTCTACAACTATTCATCTCTTGAAGATGGATTTCATTCAAAGTTATACCAAACTTTCCTTTCAGACAGCAGGTATCGAGCATAAGAGTCACAATCAGCCAGATTGTGTCATCTGACCTGAATGCTGCATGCTGATTGGACGAACAAGTTATCTGGATTCCTTAAAAGAGACAGCTCTAGTGAGTGACATTTTCTGCTGTAAAACGTGAACTTGTAATACCTTGTTTGTCGCGCTGACCCGCTGGTTGTCGACAGCTCAGGGCGGAACTGCTGTTGTTTGTTCGCGTGCGCAGTGCTCTGGCCGGAGCCCTCATTAGGCTCATAAGCAGCAGCTGGCAAAGCAGCTGGGTGAGTGATGAGCATGTGAGACGCTCATTTTACCACAGACTGCGTGGACTCCGATACCCACAAGAAAACTTTGAAGAGGCAAAGAAGAAGGTAACTTCTATTTGAGGGCTGTTCGTTTAGCGCTACGGAGTTTGCACGCGGGATTGTAGCGTGCTGTGAACTTTGCTAATGCCCGGTTGCCTGCGTGGACATTGAAATGTTTGCACCGAGGTGCGTCATATTGGCGGGGTTTGTGTAAATTGATGCGGGCATAAATGCTCTTGGGAATGTCTGTTTGCGGTGTTGCGTTTGTGCATTAAAAGCTAAGAATGAAACGTGAATATAGAGTGTATGCGCAAGCAACTGAAACTGTATTAAAGGTGCAATATGTGCGTGTAGCATGGAGTTTAGAATTTACGCTAAATAAATAAATGAAATGGTGGGCTGCAGGGT